ATTTTTTAATTATTTTAATGTTGTGTTTTTATGAAAAGGTTTGGTATGTAACTATGATATTCTTCTGTATATTCACTCGGTCATTGAGGTTTTTAGTAAAAGGTAAATTTAGTGTTATTTCTATCTGATATAGTTAATGAACAAGACTTTTTATAATTTCTTGCATTGTATATATATAGAAACACTATTTTGAGGGATTTCCTTTTTATTCGACAATGTTGTAAGCTTATCTTGATTTTGATATTTTGCTAGTGATAAAAGACTGTTATGTTGTATTAGCTTGTAAAGCTGATAGATTATTACTGTAACATATTCTTTGTTAAAGGGTTTTACTTGTGATGTTTAGTGTTGTTGAAATGAAAATTGTTAACCAGAGTTGGCAGTCTAGCCCTTCATTTCTTTCGTACTGGACCAAGAATCTGTTTTTATAGCAACCAGATGGATTTGAAAGAAATGTGGCTGGGTTCCGGTGTCGTCTGTTGAAATACGGGAAGATCTCAATGCCAGAAGTGGTTATATGCCTTTATTGAAATCAAACTGATCTCGTAAAACTCAAAATAAGAGATTGTTACGGAAACTTATGAAGAAACTAGCGAACCCGTGGGCCTATGGTCCACATTTACAGGAATGCAAAGTTTATTTATTTAACCAAGTTACGAGCGTTGATTAGTAGGCCTACTTACTTATGTGCTCTAATGTAAATCAATGTCAAATGTGTAGTATGTTTCGGGGAATCCCCTGGTTTTCCTAAGGGGTTGGGTGAAAAGTTTTACCATTTTGCAAGCCTCGTGGCCGAGACGATTCGTTTGGTACCACTTAGAAGTTGGTGAGAGCAGCAGTTTAGGAGGAGATACATGACAAACACACAGACAGACACTGACTCTTGATATAATAATGTTAGTAAAATAATTTTGCGTAATTTTATCAACTGCTGTGTGTTATTAAAGATGATGCCTTGTGCTAAAATAAACCGCAACTGTTTCTTGCAGTCTTTGCTATCTGAAGCCCCGTTAATGTACCGTGTTAATTCTTTAATTCCTATGTGGCCTGCACGATTAAGTCGTCTACTCAGAACCCGCCCCCCGTACGAATATCTACGATGATAATCGTAAACATAAACGCAAACATTGGATAAACCTGGTAGCAACGTGTCATACAACATGCCAAAAAAAAGTTTAAGTTAAACAAAGTAATCATGCGTGGGATGTTGATAAAATATTACACATATATAGATAAAAATGGGTAAACAAGAGGTTTATAAGAAAATATTAGATTATTACTTACCATGGGCATCTCTATAGTACGCATGCGTCACACTTCTGAACCTTTCTTGTCCTGCCGTGTCCCAAATCTCAAAAAATAAAGATCAACAAACATTACTAATATTATTCACATAAACCAATGAATAAAACCGTTATCTAATTTAAAAACTAGGTATTTACGAGTGTAAAATAAATAAAAAGAATACATTTCCATCAACATAAAAATTAAATGTTCTACAGAAGATTTAAACCGATGATAATCGTACTTAAAAGCATTAAGCAGGTAATTTTCCAAAGAAATTTTACAGTTTTTGTTCAAACGCTAAAGAATGAGCAACTATAAGAAAGTTATGAAACTAACCTACCCGAAGTTTCACTTAATACTAAAGTTATGAAACTAGCCCAACTGAAGTTTCACTTAGTAATAAAGTTATGAAACTAACCCACCTGAAGTTTCACTTAATACTAAAGTTATGAAACTAGCCTATTTGAAGTTTCACTTAATAATGAAGATAAGGAATTAACCAACTTGAAGTTTCACTTAATAATAAAGTTATGAAACTAACCCACCTGAAGTTTCACTTAATATTAAAGTTATAAAACTAACCCAACTGAAGTTTCACTTAGTAATGAAGATAAGAGACTTACCCACTTTCAGTTTCACTTAATATTAAAGTTATAAAACTAACCCAACTGAAGTTTCACTTAGTAATGAAGATAAGAGAATTACCCACTTTCAGTTTCACTTGATACTAAAGTTATGAAACTAGCCCAACTGAAGTTTCACTTAATACTAAACTTATGAAACTAACCCACTTTAAGTTTCACTTAATATTAAAGTTATGAAACTAACCCAATTGAAGTTTTACTTAGTAATAAAATTATGAAACTAACCCAACTGAAGTTTTACGTAATACTAAAGTTATGAAACTAACCCACCTGCAGCTTCACTTTAGCATCATCCAATGGGACAACTTTATTCTGAAAAAAGTTTCAAAAGGAAATTAATATCAACAAGAAGTGAGACAAGTATGCTTCAACTGATTCTACTGAATAATCCATAACGTTAGTATAATAAAAGATGTTTTGTTTAATATGAAAAATGAAAGAAACAAAAAAGCATAAAATGTCCTCTTTCTTTGTGTAAAAGATATAGGACTTTCGAAAAACTTTTAACCTTGGACAAAACGAGCATCAATTAATATTTTTAAATTAAATTGTTTATTAAAATTAGCATATATATTATTTTCGTTCAAACTTTCAATGAACAACAAACATACATAAACTAACAAAGTGCCTAATGTATTGCACATTATTTCATGGACTTCTTACAATTAAAGCATAAAGGTTAAGATTACTAAGCCTAAAAAATTATTTTTCTTTGGAATTTCGAACGAAGTGTTTTAGTTACATATCCAAAAATAGAGAATGGAACACATTGATTCAACTGAGACAAACTTTGCGATGTTTTCTTTTTGGATAAAATTATTTTCGAAAGTGAAACTTGAGAACGAATGATATTCGAACCCATGTTTTCATCGGACATTTGACTAATTCTAATAGTTCATACTATCTAGCTTGGCTTTGTTCAACACCAGTACATCATGAGAAAGCCTCTACATTTTTCTTTTGTGGATTTTATCTGTTCTGTGAGATTAGAACGACTGTAAAGGCGCTCTTCCGGAACTTTTATCAACTACATTACAGATGTTCTGAGAGGTCTGTACACATTAACACGCTTAACATAGGAAGTTATTGAATCCTTTCCTTACCACGTGTTTAAACTAAAGAACAGATATTGTTAAGCCAAGGAACAGATATTGTTAAGCCAAAGAACAGATATTATTAAACTAAAGAACATATATTATTAAACTAAAGAATTGGCATTGTTAAACTAAGAGAATTCAGTGTAAAGATAATAAACAGATGTTGTTAAACTAATCAAAAGACACGTTAAACAGCAGATACTGTTAAAATAAAGAGAATTCAGTGTAAAGATAATGAACAGATGTTGTTAAACTAATCAAAAGACACGTTAAACAGCAGATATTGTTAAACTAAAGAGAATTCAGTGTAAAGATAATGAACAGATGTTGTTAAACTAAAGTTCATACATTGTTAAGCTAAAGAT